TATTATAGAGGAAAGATAGCTACCTGGCTACAGCTGGGCTATGCTTCACACTCAGGTGATGGATTGGAAACATACAGTGGAAAGCATAGTCCTGGCTTCCCAGGATATATTGTCCAGTTGGCTCCATAGTGTTGAGATGTCTGGCAAGGCTTTGTTGGTAATAGACAGTGGAGCCAGTATGCTTTCTGTGGTGAAGACTGTGGACTTTGTCAGCACCCATTGCTTTGCCAATAACTCAATTCCCTTGCGGCCACTGGCAGAAGCCTTTCTCCAGCAGTTCCATGCCCAGGTCATGGAGTGACTGGCACCACTCTGGGGGAATAAGCTGTATGCTATGGCCATGATTTGTGACCCATGGATCAAAGCATCCCTGTTTAAGAAGGTGGCAGGCCTTGAGGGCTTGTGAGAGGCTCTTTGCTGCCAGGGGCGAAAGCATCTATGAATGACTAGTGCAGCTGGGGACAGGGCAGAGGTAGAGGCGGAAGAAGGGCAACCCAGCTCAGCCTGGCCCGCTCCCTCTGTGGTACTCACCACCGAGTCCCTTGGGAAAGCTGTTGCCGATTCCCAGGGCAGCACCGCTAGGACTCTCACTCCAGCAAAGCAGGATAGAGTGACTGAAAATGGTGGCAGATTACTTGGATGATGCCCTTGAGCCACCCACCACAGATCTACTGAGCCCTGGCTGAGATGGCTCTCAAACAGCTTTCCACATCCTCTTCCTTGGTCCACTAGTGTGGAGAGTGAACATGTCTTCTCTGTTGCTGAAGCCTACACTGCTCGCATCATATAGGGGAGAGGGTGGAAGAGCCGGTTTTCCTTAAGGTTAATCTGCCTCTTCCGGGCTATCCATTCTGCCTGTTGACTGAAGCAGTGTAGCAATAGCGGTGCCGCCACCAGCACAAGCTAAATATGGAAGGTAGGCCAGGAGAGGTCCTCTCAAAGTATAACATGAAAAGTTTTTCCCACTTGCAGATAGAGAAAAACAGGATTTTAAATAGCCAACAAGTAGTCTCCCAAGAGTTTAAGATAGGTGAGGGGAAAAATGTCTGTACTTAAAGAAAAAAGGAAAAGAGATTTTTTTTACACAGAGAGAAAGAAAAGAGAGAGAAAGAGAGAAAAGTTCATGCGCCATAAACACTGCCTTACACCACAAAACTAAACAGGAAAAGGACCCACTGCAAGAATTATAACTTAGGTTCCACAGTCCACTCCATGATTTTCCCCTCCCTTTCCCTTGGTAAAGGAGGTAGACTTGGACCAAAAGACATTTGTTTCCAAAGAAATAGATGGGGGGTGGGGGAGATAATACATTTTCCCTACCTTACAATACAAAACTAAACAGAAAAATCTCCCCCTGCGTGTTTCACTGCCCCCCTGTTCCAGTGGTATTTTTAAAGAGGTCCCCACTAGCAAGTTCACACACACATGCACTCAAATTCCCCAAGGCAAGAGATATTTAAAAGGTGTGACTCCCTCCTTGGTCTCTACTTGCGAGAATGCTGACTGAGCTGACAAACAGAGGCTGAAATACTGTCTGTAGCCTCAGCCAAAGCACGTGGCTCAGTGAGCTAGCCATCCGGCTGCAGAGCCAGAGGTTGGGAGTCCAGTTCTCCACTGTGCCGCCCAGAAGAGCCAACCTGTGTGGCCTTGGGCAACTCACCCAATCCTGGGATCCCTCCAGAAGGCAATGGCAAGCTGCTTCTGAGGAACCTCTCGTACCTGGGAGATCCTGAAAAGGGTTGCCATAAGTCAGAAGTGACTCGATGGCACACGATTATTAACTTTCTGAGAATTACGGCAGTGGCACTTCGTTTACCAGGGATGAATGAACGGAAAGTATTATGCCTCGAGATGCAGAAACAACAGCGTGCTTGTTTTGCTAGCAGATGAAGGAAGCCATGGTGTTGGCAGGAAGGTATTGTGGCTGCAAATTTTTTAAACGGAGGACACAGAAAATGGTTGGGATGGGAACCAAGTGGACGGAGCTAGACTAGACTAGCATGGCCATTGCAACGCTCCCACACACAATGCCATGGGCGAGAGACTGATGTGGTAAATGCCTATGCAGTGTTTTGTAGGGCAGGGTCAGTCTTCTTGCTGTGTTGTTGAGATCGACTCTGTGACTGAAAGGAGGCGACCCTGCTTGCTAACCAAGACAAAGCCATGCCATCTGTTCTATTGTACTCTAGGCACAGAGACACTTCAAGAAGCGGACAGGCAAGGTGGGCTTTCAGACAGAACAAAGAAGCACATAAGGTTGAAGCACTGGAGGTTCCTGAATACGCACTAGAGACCCCAGGACCCAAACTGAGCAAAGAAAAGTCGCGGGCTAAGTTTTAAAGAATACTTGAACTTCTGAGATTTGGTCACACAATCCTTACTTTGTCATATAGATACTTTCCCTTTAATTGAGGTTTTTGTTCTAGGCAATGATGAAGATATGCCCAAAATACAAGGCAGCAACAGGTCAGAAGTTGGTCAGGATCAAATCCAAGAATGAAATCTGACTGTTGGTTCCAACTATCAATAGGACTTGTATCCAATGAGTCTATTGTCCTTTGAACTGACAATTAGATTTACCCCGTATCTATTCCTTCTGACAGTTCAAAAAGATGTGAAACTTCTGGAACCTGTTCCCTGAAAACACCCGTCATTAGACTTTGCTAGCACAGTTATGTCACATGCCCTTGGGCCGGCAGTACAACATTTATCCCTACTCCCTTTAGGGAAAAAAAGTGATTTTATTTTCTTTAGTACAAAAGGCATACATGATATACACAGAGCATTCCAAGGAAATGCAGTCTGACCCCACCCCATAAAAGAATAAATGTTCGAAATCTTGGTAGGAATAATACCATGTCCCAAATACTGATCAATGGCAACTGCACCGGGGTGGGGTGGAGGATGAGTGACAGGGTGGAAAGCCTAAGGCCAAAAGGTCATGGGCCAACACACACAAGACAGAATTTACCAAGTGTCTTTCCATAAAAGAGTTGTGGTGCGTTTGAGATTGGATTGTGACTGTGACACTAGTGTAACCCTTCCTGGTTGATCTGCTGTCTCCATCCAGTAGGCTCCCATCAAGGCTGCAGAAGGACAACAGCACAGGCTGAAATGGTTGCCCCATGTCCCCTGAGCACCACAATCTCAAGGGAACATTTAAAAAAAAACAAAACAAAAACAAAACAAAACAACAGAACACACAGGCATTGGCTGATCTGGTGGTGGATCTTTCACACCATATATATAGTTTGGTTCTCAGATGGTATGTTTTCTTCACCTCAGGTAGGTCTGATCACATTCAATGTAGGGCTAAAAAAATCATCCCGTCATCCCTTTGTCTTGCACAAAACTGGATATTTCTGGCTACAGGGGTCAGATAAGAAGAATTCGGTGAACTCTTCCGGGGTTGGGGTGTTTGTCACTTGAAACTTACTTCAGGTGACCCCAGAGTTTTCTTGGTTTTGAACTTTTCAAAGGGACTCATAACACTGCAAGGCTTTTAACAGCATTTCCTGGAATGCCCCACAACTAAATGTTGGTTGCTTAGCAACATGAGGAATGAACACGAATTTTAAAAAGTCCTCTTGGCTGCCTCAAAAACCTGAATAGAATAGACACTAAGTGAAAACTCCCTGCCTGAAAAGTTCTTCAGACTTTTTGAAAGACATTTTTCTTTCATTTAGCCCTAATCCCCATCTGAGTGTCTGGGAAAAAAAAAAGATCCAGTCCAGCTCCAGCTCATACATAAGTTTTTAAATGCTGGGCTGAGTAGCTGCCCAAGGTCTGCATTTTTCCCTGTCTCACAGGCAATCCATAATAATAGTGTTCTGTCATTATGTCCCAACCCTCTGTGAATTCCACAGCTTCGTGTGTTCATATGCTGAAGCCACAAGGCCACCAAGGAAGATTTTATACTTCTTTTTCTTATTCATCTGCTGACCAACAGTGGATCTTTCCATGTTCATTGCCAGCCAGGATCTTGGAATAATTCCTTGTGGAAAGAAAAGACAGAAGGCATTTAGAAGCAACATATTAGGTAGCATAAATAATGCTTGACACCATCCTCCATGGTATTATGGTGCATTCAGTGCACTGCTCATTGGAACAAAATTACTTTAAATAAGACCTAGAGAATATGAAAGTCAGTGATAACTTTCCAAAGATATGGCACACATTTGCAGTGCCGAGCCATTGTTGATAGAGAGACCAGTCCCCAGAAACATGGAAAGATGAAAATCTATTGAAGAACACTTAATAACATTTACCTTTCTTTCTTCATACGTGGTGCAGTCTTTCATTAGTCACAGGACTACATGCTTCCATTGTTTACTCAAACTAGGGGTCAGCAAATCTGTTTCAGTTTTGTTTCATTTCTGTGGATTCTCTCTGCATATTCTTTCCCTTCTTGTTTCGTACTGGATTGTAGGACATTGGGATTTTGTGCATGGAATTTGTGCTCATTTTGAATACACTTTCCTTATTGTGCACAGTTTATCTATTTTAGACAAATTCCCCCTCAAAACTACACCTAGTGAAATATTATAGTCTCCCAGCAAGAATTTTCCCTCTCTGCTTGAAGCACCTGGGACCAATTATAGCTGGTGGCCGAGAAGATCCATGTGAGAAAACATGGTAGCCTGGCTGATGGCTGATTTTTACTGGAAAAGCAATCTGGAAAAGGAAGAAAAGCTTTTAAAAAGACATGGGTACACTGATGCTTTTACTGAACAATTTAGAACTTTAGCTTGCCCTGGGAGGAATGCCTTCATCATTCTGTAACCTCTAAATAGGGCTGCAAAACATAGGAGGGCATTCACTGCCCAGTCCTATTTAGCATCTATCATTCCCTATCCTTTTTTTGCTAGTAGTAACCTAAGAAAAGGCAAACACTTCACCCAATGAAACCATACAGTCACCAAATTTGCTGCTGGTGTGCCCTCTAGAGTGGCCGGCGATGTACTGCAAGATAATTACCTGGAAACAGCTATGGTTGTGACAGCGGGCATGATTTTTCCAGGTTTCTCTGATGGAGACATGCTGAGATCCAGCTCTTGACAGAGGACCAATGGCATTTCCACCTTATTGCCTGTGGGGTGGTGAAACAGAATAATCAGAAAACAGCTCATGTTGAGGATTGGAAAGTGGGTGGTGGCAAATGTTATTATTTATAGCCATCAACTTGTTAACTGGAGAACAAATATATTTAATCCTGGCCTGTGCTACTGCCAGCAGGGTCGGTCCCAATTGAATTTGCAGGCTATGATAGTTACATGTGCTGACGCGTGGCTGTATCAATTGTGGGCTAAATTGGATTTGTGTATTATTGCTTTCTAAATTGCATGCCTAGTTCAGCAAAACTGTTCATCAGTGCTTACTGTCTCAGTGCTTAATAAGAAGCCCCAGAATACCTTGCTGCTAGGATATAATGCAGATCATAATTGCCCAGTTAAAACAAATTACATGAAGTCCTGATATTATCAACTTATCTAAATCTGTTTATAACACAACCAATAATTAAATGCCAAGAACACTGTGCAAAAAAAATGTAACTCAATCATTGTTACTTCAGCCTTTTTAAAGATCGTATTTTGGATTAATCTTCTTTCCCTTCAATGTTACAAAAGCTACTGGAGATTGTCTGGCTCTGAAAAGACTTTGAAAGCAGAAGAGCTCTGTGGAAATACAGTAACTGCCACAGTTAATTCATTTAGTTAATTGTGAGAAATCTGCAGGAGGTATTATGATGGATGCCATAATGTTAAAAATCAAACAACTCAAATACTTCACAACCATACAAAGCTACTGAACAATTTGAAACAAAAATCACAGACTGAGGGACAAAGAGCAGTGTTACATTAATGGAATACCATGGAATATGCTGCAGTGTTGTTTGCACAGTGATTTAAAGTCATGAGGGTGTCAGGTGGTTGTATATTGCTGTTTGAGTCTCCTGTGGGTTTGAAAGAGGGGGGCTCTGTGTGTGTGTGTGTGTGTGTGTGTGTGTGTGTTTGTGTGTGTGTGTGTGTTTCTCTCCAGCAATAGGAGGAAGCCGTGTGTGTGACAGAGAGAGACAGAGAGAGACAGAGAGAGACAGAGAGAGAGAAGGATTTCAGCTTCCATGTGCCCTTCCCTCCCTCCTTCTTTCCCTTGGCTGTGGTTCTTGTTGCTGCCACCGCCTCTCCCACCACCCACCTCCACAATTTACACCAACAGAGGGGGCTACATATGCCAAAATGGTTGAAATAAATCACTTTCACAAGCAATTTAAATTAAATCACCCTCTGGCAGAAGAGGATCTTACCTCACTTTACAACAACAACAACAAAAAAACACAATTCCCAGTCATTCCCGCCTGCCCCCCAAAACTGCTTCCATTTACATCATAGAGAGAAGAAGATCTTACCTCACTTTACAACCAAAAAACACACAATTCCCAGTCATTCCCGCCCCCCAAAAAAACTGCTTCCATTTACATCATAGAGAGACTTTATTTCAAACCAATTTTTTTAAAACACATCCCAGTAGTTCTTATTGTCAGTGGCACCGAGATCTAAGCCAGATTAGAACTGAAACATACACACAGTATATATGTATTTAGGGATACTCTCTTCCACTGATATATGTATATCTTTATTATGCTAAGAATATCTAACTGCATTCAGGGCACATCTTGGTTCAACATGACATGAGCCTTCCAGTTCAGCAAATCTTATCTGGCACAAAGTGGTTCTATGATTAGAAATCTTTCCAAACAAGAGCTGAACTTGCATTTAAATATGCAGAGAGGTTTATTAGAATTACAACCTCATGTATTAACTTTTATATCCATTTATGTAACTTATACAAATTAGAAACTCCATAATGGGGAAAAATGCTTTTTGATGTGTGTAATAACCTCTGCACATACACGAAAAAAACTCAGTTTGTAAACCATTATGAAGAGTTTGGAATGTTAGTTTCGTAACTTAATTAGTTGGTGTTAAATGTTAGAAACAGGGAAATTAGTGAGAGGTAGTTTGGCATCTTTGCTAATTTGATTTGAGAAATTATATATCTCAATTATAATTATAAATTATATATCCTGCTCCTGAGGTCAGAGTCCTCACACACCTGTCCTCCCAGAACAGTTGCTAGTTGGCACACCAGTCTACTACAGAGATATTTAGGGGAAAGGCCATGCAAATCATCCCAGCTTAATTTCTCCACTTGTTGGTTTTTCTCAAATATAGTCTTCAAAAGCATTTTCTAAATTATTCATAAGAGACCAGAAGCAAGTAGTTTCCAGTTGTGCCAATGCACCATGTAAGTAGGTAGGGCAGGAATTGGTGGCCTGAAGAACAGTAAGGCTGAGAGGAGGTGAGCAACTTTTTACTAAAACTGTACTTTCAGACAAAACTTCTGCAAAAAGAATGCATTTGGAAGTGGTCAAAGAATAATTGTGCTACTAACTGTAGTAGCCTGATGCTGCTGGATGGTAGCTCCTTGAACCCTCATTATAAATTGTGCTTTTTGGAACTGTAAACCTTAATAAATCTCAAGAACAAGGTTAGGAATCACATTACTTCTTATGAGGAGCTGTTTTAGTGCCTTCCTCTCTGGGAAGGAGGAGTGTGGACACACCGACATAACTTAGGTATGATTTTAATTAATGGCATGTCTTCAGACAAATGTTCAAAAATGGGTCAAATCAGGGTTTTCTGTGTGATTCTTTGTGTATTATTTTTTATTTTCCTTTTCTTAATTCCAGTTGTTGGGCATCTTTGATTTAAAATGTTTTAACACCCAGAATGCCAGATAGAACATGTGAGGATGTGTGGCTGCTCTCGGCCTTGTGGGCAACTAGAGGCTCTTTGCCAATATAAAACAATTCAGCATTTAAAAAACATTAGAAACAACACAAAACATTAAACTCAACAACAAAAAGAAGCCTCACAGTCTATTAAAGCCATTTAAAAAAACAAACAAACAAAGATCCAGCAATATACAAGTATTGCCACTGTCCCAGACATGGATCAGGTTGGAGTGCCACCAAAAGGGCACCAGGCGGGTTGGCCCTGATCTATGTACCCTTCATTTGGACATCGACAGGTCTGGAGTGGGCTGGCACATCGCCAATTTTAATGAGCAGAAAATCCATTGGTGTTCTACTTAGGATGTAAAATAAATAAGTGATTTTTGTTTTGTTTGATTAAATAAGAAATTATTGTTGGCAATTAATGAAATGTTAAAGTGTTAATCTAAGTGCTTTATTTCTAAGCTTTGCCATTATACAGGTGTGGATGTTTTATGTGCATATGTATGTGTAGCTGCTGCATATGCTATATTTCCTCAGGATAAAATCTTGTGCCATTGTCATGTATAGTATCTGGAATGCTGGCATTTTTATTATTTCTAAGCTTTAAATCTTCTCCTCTGAATCTAGTTGTATTTGTCCTGAGCAGCTCAACGCACTAGCCCAAGAACTGGACTGACAAAATATTTGCACTGGGAGCCCTCTACTGGCTTCATGAAATGCTGACAGACTTTCAGTGTTACTCCACAGACCAAAATGATGCAGAATGGAGATAAGCTTTCTTTCCCTCCCTTCTTGAAACAGAGATTTGTGCATATGTTAAAAACTGTTCTTTTTTCTTTCTCTGTAGGAAGCTTCTAGTTATATATTAAAACATGCACCAAATGACAATACTTTCTCTTTGCCACCACTGGAAAAGGAAGATTTTAAAAAACAGAATGGAATTCTATGATTAGCACCTCTTCAGGATGTCTCTTGACTTTTACATTATTAAGAGATCACATTTAGCTGTGAAATTAAGACACAGAACTACAACTTAAATGATATCAGTCCAGCATTTTATAGCCTCTCCAGAAACCACATTAAATATGTCCACTGGGATACCAGTGTCATGTACTCCGAATCATTGGAAAAATGAGCTACTACATCCTGTCTGTTGAAATAATTAACAATATTGCATGCAACTTAATACTAGTTTTGTGGAAGGAGAGAGCTTTCGAAAATTATCATGACTGTCTTTTCCTACTAACCAATTAGCAGATTCTTCCCTTCTCTTTTTGTGCTCATTTCTGCTTCCAGATGAATATTTTACTCTTCTTTCTTTCCTGATCTTTTGAGAAAAGCAGACATTGTTTCTCATCACTCCTGACCTCTTGTCATGTGGCTGCAATGGCAAACTTAAGCCTCCCATAATGGTAGAGGCTGGGATTCCTTTCTTTTATTGTTCCTTAGTCTTCTGACTGTATCTGAAGAAATAATTGTGAGTAAAGGATTTTTAAATTCTTTCTCAAGTTAGTTGTAATGCAGTTTCTTACAAACAAAGGGGGCTGGGACAGAAGCTGGGATTTTAGTTATTCTCGCTCCACATTTCTCTGTGTTGTAGTTCGTTTATTTATTTATTTTTACTTTATACTCTGCTGACAAAGGGAATCAACCAAATTCCAGGAAAAGACAACACTATCCCCACTGCTGCATTTTTCAAATCCAGGTAAGTAAAGGCACAAAGTCTCAGCATCTACAAATCAGAAATAAATGAACTGAACACATCCAAAGAAGGGCACCAGTGTGGAATTTAAAAAGAGAATGTCAACCAGAGATAATGGGGTGCTGTTAATAAAGTTCATGCTGTTAATGCCTAAAATAAATTCTAGTCAGCTTGTTGACATTTATAAAAAGAGGTTCAGTACAGTGGGGTCTTGACTTAAGAACGGCTTGAGTTAAGAACATTTTGACTTAAGAACCACTCTCATAGGAAAATATTGACTTGACTTAAGTACTTAGATTTGAGTTAAGAACTGGAAAAAAAAAACACGTGGGAGGCAGGGAAAGTGCAAAATTTGAACTTTCAGTTAACTGTTGGCCAGTGAAAAGGGTGCCTGGCTGCTTCCTCACTCCTCCCAGCGTTTAGAGAGTGGATTGGGAGACAGTCTTCAGACTGCCTGGTACTGTCCTGCCTCGACTGTATTTTCCCTGCCTTCCCTGAACCTTTCTTGACCTAAGAAAAAAAAGGGAAACAAAATATCCCCCTCTAGTGGTCGAAGGCAGAATAGCCGCTTCCCATTAGTTTCTATGGATGGAAAAGAGCAGATACGGATCAAATGGTTTTCAATGCATTCCTATGGGAAATGCAGATTTGACCTGAGAACTTTTTGACTTGAGAACCGCCTTCCAATACAGATTAAGTTCTCAAGTCAAGACCCCACTGTATAGGACTGCAGGCACAATTTAATGCTGAGTCAGCTGAATCACTTTCTACCACTATTACGGGGGTAGAGGTGAAAGTAGGTTCTATGGCTTAGAGAAAAGCTCACCGAGTTGTCTTGAAACTCAGCATTCTTTGAGAGCTTGGTTTGATGGTGATCCATACCAATTCTGAGACTGAAAGACTGAAATGTCCATTACAGGACTCTGAAGTTTGATAAGTGCTGTTCAGCACTGCATTTTCTCCCATACACTTTGCTGTGGTTAGAATTTGCTGCCCAATTTCTCTGCTTCTATAGCATCTTTCTGGAAAAATGTTTGGTCAAGTTAAAGTGATGTGCTGTCTTAGTAGAAATTAGGCGTAAACATACAATTACATATATAATTGCAAGCTGCAGTGCCAAATTCCACCTGACACTGTAGTCTGATCATCTCTGTTCTTCTGACTGAGGACTGATGGACCTTCTTCATTTTCAGCCCTTTAATGAGAGACTAAGGGTAGAAAGTTTGAGAACCCCTCCTTTACAGTGTCGTGCTAATAATACTGAGATCATATATTTGGTTTCCACACAAGCCAAAGATTGGGGAGGGGGATAACTTTGTTTTTCTCTCTCCTTTCTGTTTCCTGTCATTGCTTCCACTTGTAATCTTCCCTCCCCTTCCTCCTCAAGTCTCTCTAGTGCACACCATCTAAGTCTTTTAATTCAAAATTATCTGGGGGGAAAAAAGACAGCATTCTTAGACATAAGCAATGTGCTCTTCCACTACAGCCAAACAAGTGGTACTGCAAAAGGTTTACCCCAGAACCGTTTTCATTATTCGGCATTTTCTGTCCCCCATTCAATAAAGGAAAAGAAGAAAAGTCCACTCTAATAAGGAGAACGCCCTTCTTTTGTATGCATATGCCCACACCCCATAGAGAGGACACAACCTTCTCCTACCCTGCAGACACCCTCTCTTCCCCCCCCCTCTCTGGGGACTCAGATTCTGAATATAGACGTTGCATCTGCTCTGTTGAATTTCATTTTGTAAACTTCAGCCCGGTTTTCTATTCTATCAAGGCAATGTTGAATTTTATTTCTCTTCTGACGTGCCCTTCCCAGATTCGCGTCTTCGGATAAGAGTTTCTTCTACCTCTTCACTGAAGGGTTTGTCCACCCAGTGGTGGTGTTCCAAGTCATTCTGGGGATGTCATTTTGTTTTGTTTCTGTAGCTTTGAAGAGACCATTCTGGTATTTCCAGCCACACATGGTGAGTGCTGGATATACTGGATATTCTTTGAGCTGTCCCAATACAGCCTCTTGCTACACTTCCTGACAATACAGATTGCTCTTTTCTCTCGCCTGTCTTCTCTTCCCTCTTCCCAACCCACCTCCCTCTCTCATCCCTTACTTCCTTGTCTTATCTGTCCATAGGGTGTGGAGGCAGAGAGTCAGAACAGCAGAAAAACCACACATAAAGGAATGTGATCAAATGACACATACACACCTCACACAAACTATGTGCCACCTGTTCATGGAATACAGTAAGGAAAGAAGTAGTCCTAGTCCCATACATGGAGATCCTGCACTAGAGTAAATAGGAGCAAAGCAGGGGGTAGAAAATACACAATCAACAGCCAGTGGTGTTAAAAAAAACCTGGAAAACAAGGATCTTCTGCCTCCTTGATTCTGCTGATGCTAGTTTCAGTCCTGTGTTGTACAGATATTGGGATGCAATACTGGCATCATGGGTGTAAGTAGAACAGAGCTCCATGTAGATAGGCTCGGTGCTGGATAAAATGTCTTTGGGACCATTTAAACCCAGGGACAGAGCTTTGTGGCACTACTCAAAATGCAGAACTACAGAGAAACACTCTAAGTGCTGGTTAACAATCAGTTGAAAGCACTCTTGACATCTAGCCTCTATTTAACTAGTTTGGTAACCAATGTGTTTGTCTTTTGCCAAATGCTTTGCCGTACTACATCCACAGCAGTCCCACTGTCCACTAACTTAACTACTCAAGAGGCAGCATGGGCTGAGGGGAAAGGGGATAAAAATTAACTTGGCAGGATGCATTCTTGACAAATTTACATGGGCCTCTCTTAATAGCTAGCTGCATTATCTAGAATTTTTTTTCTGCTCACAGGATCAGAATGACCATTCATAGTTCCCAGATGTTCCTTTTCATCCTTGGATGGCTGAGACAAAATGTCTCTGTGGCTTTTCAGTCATCTTCCAGGATTTCTCCAGCCATGATCAAAGGCTGAGTGTTACAGAAAGCCAAAACTCTGTGGGAGGTACACTGGAAGGCTGGCATTACAAGCATTGAGAGCCTCCTTTGCTTTCCAAACCTGCTAACACATCCTCATAATGCCTCATCCTTGTGCCTTGTGCCGAAGCTATCCTTACCCTTGTTTGGCTGGCATTCAGAAAAGTCTTCCTGCGAGCTCATTGGGAAGCTCTGGTAAGGATGTGAAGTATTTTCAACCTTCCAGACCTGTAATAGTAGAGACAAACGGATTAAAAGTGGGCTGTCATCCAGTTAAAGGAAGTTTAATTGATTGTTAGATTTGTAATAAATTAACCAATTAAATCTATTTGCATATGATTCAAAGCAATAATTATGGAATACTGACAAGCAGATTTCAACTTGCAGCAACCTTCTCTAGGTTTTCTAAGAATTAAAACAGCCGTAAGTGGCTTACTAGCTCCTCCTGGTGGTGCTCTGGGGCCTGGCAGCATGCCCAAGGCCACACATGTGGCAGGGCACATTAACACCCTCAGCCATGCACATTCTGATCTCAGCTGGTGCTTCTCCCAGGAGGCACGGCGAAACTCCCACTCCAAGTGCTGCAACCCACTGAGCGTCACCAGCTCTTCAAAGCAACAGGGGAGGGGGATTTTAATGTTTAAAACACTGACAAGGGAAAGTGTGAAGAGTAACACACACCAAATGCGCAGCACAAAGATGGCAGGGCAGTGGTACTTTTCGAAAACCATGTTTTACCAGCAGTGGCAACTTTTGGTAATTAAAGACTCTCCTCTCTGTTCTGTTCCCTCATGGCTTCCTGGTGAAAAACGGGATTCCACAAGAGCCCCAGGACCATTGGGGGAAAATTGGAAATCTTTCGTTTCAAGAAAAGTTGCCACAGATTATCACCTCAGTAGCCTTACACAATGTAGCTCATGGAACAGGATTTCAGCCAATTATTCTGAATTTAAATAGGCATGCTACTATTATTTATTTGAAATCCCCCACACATTTAGCTCGAAAGTTTGAAGAAGCATAAATAGGCATGCTACTATTACTTATTTATTTATTTATTTATTTTATTTATACCCCGCCCATCTGGTCTTGCGACCACTCTACTATAACTGGTTGCAACAGATAAGCAGTCACAGACGTTGTTGACTTTCATGAAGTTTTTAAATGAATAAATTAAAAAGTGAAACATTGCAGCCCTATTTACAAGGCAACTGTATGAGGCCTGAAAAACATGCTGGTGGTCTAGTGTCTACCAGTTAGAACATCCCTGTAGGCTGTGCAGGACATAATGAGGGTTTCTATCATCTATTCTGGACAGAGTCTTTGGAGTTCAGCAGTCAAGCAGCAGGAAGCCATTCAGGAGGTGCACCTTTTCCTTTAGGTTGCCCTCTGTAGTCCCAAGCAGAAAAAAAAACATACCAGAAAGGTTTCCTGCTCTATTGCAGTGGCATCCCTCTCCCCAATTAACTGGCATCTGTTCTACTGGATTGGCATTAGCATTGTTACTTTTAAAGACTTTCCTCCTCCCAATGAGGTGGCAACTTCAGACACGGCAACCCTACTTTGGCCTTACCGTCTGAGAGCAGGAAGGACTGTATGGGGATGTGGGAGATGCATGTACATCCCTCCCCGATATCCCCCAGGGCTGTCAATCAGGCCTTCACACATTTAGCTCGAAAGTTTGAAGAAGCAGTTGTGAGCACATTGACCTGGGGACACTTACTGGGCTCTTGGGACTGGGCAGGACTCCTCACCACAAATGAGCTCAGTTGGACATGCCAAGGCCTGACTTGACAACCAGTTGAGGGGATATTGGGAGAGGGATGTACATACATATCCCAGACCCCATCACAGTCACACCCCTGCCTGCTTTCAGACGGTAACACTTGAATAGTGCTTGAGCAAGATGGCCTTGCCCCTTTCGCGGGGAAGGGAGGATTTGTACAAGGGTGGTATCATTCAGAAGTGCCTGGAAGTGCCTGCCAGATGTGGAACACAGTCCCTGGCCTCTTCTCTGTTTTCCAAATGCACTCAGGGGCAGCAGGAAGACACTTGCCCTCCTCTCACAGCTACCCTTTAGGTTCTTCTAGGTCAACAGCTTGGAGAGACAAGAGAGTTTTTGGTCTCCCACCTTGCTCTTCTTCTTCCCGTGCCACTCACGAGATGAGGGGGAGATACGTAAATGTGCAGAAGAGGGCAAGTGCCTGCTTCGCTGGAGGTGGCCCCAGCCACCCCCTGAGTCTCACCACTTCACAGAATCTCTAGTTCTTACTTAAGCTCTCTGACGGCATGCAAGCCACCCATGAACTGTACTTCAGAGTGAAATGCTGAACGGAGTGGGCTTTAACGGCAAGTCATCAGACATGAGAAGGTACAACAGAGGAGCTTCTGAAATGAAACATCTGGGTTCACTAAAAGGACTACATTAGCAATCTGACCACCCTTGCTTTGGCTGGTAAGACTGGCTTCAACAGAAAGAGATGTGAGGACCACATTATTTCTTGTAAGTAGTTCTCCAACTGTTTTCCTCCAGTGGGGTGGACCACCAGGGGGTATATTTACTCTTTATTTGTCAGCTACCTGTAAAATCTCACTCCAGCTTATTAACCTCTTTTCTGTTTTAGGGTTCCCAAACTGGGCACTGCATCTCAGTGGGATGCCTGGGAACTGAGCCAGGGGTGCCATGGGAAAAGGGATGGAACATAGAGCTAAGAAGGCTGTAGAGGAGCTGCTCATTGCTCGATATCAAACAGGAACCAGAAGTGAAGGTTGTGTACCTGCCTCTCCTTGCCCTATCTCTACGATCCTCAGTGTTTCCTGCATCAGGACCTGGAAAGAGGTGGGCCCCAGCGATATTGAGGGGGGAGAGATGGGGTGGTTAGGGAGGGGTGGCAAGAACCCTTATGGTGACTCCTAACAAGGGTAGCTGCGACCAGTGGTTAGCAAATCAGGGAGCTGCGAGCCCAAAATGTTTGGGAATCACTGCCATAGTTGTTGAGGGGAGAGTGATGCAGTGAACAAGTAGCTTGCAAAGAATGGTAGAAATCCTGTTGCTTAGCATAGTAAGCCAAAGTAGAGTAGTCCCATTAAATCAGTAGAGATCTGGTGAGTCATTTCCCCCATAAGCTTCACTCAGTGGGCGTACTTTAGTTGCGACTAAGGGTGCCATCGGATGGTATGAAAAGCATGTGTTCAACTGCATTGGAAAGGGTACCTCTGCAGGAAGGAATCTCACATCTGTTGGGCAATTACTCCAGCCTGCCCCCCAAAAGTGGTAGCTCTACAGCTGGGCACAGATCAGGATCAGGCTGCAATGCAATTCCACATGACTCATGTGATCATCAGGAAATAGATCATATCACTCCCCCCTCCCCCCCGGTGATCACACCCTTACTGATCTAACCAACAGGATTTCAGCCAATAAATGAACGAAACAGCCCCTTCTTCCAGTGATCCAGTCAGCCCAAAGGCATTACAACTGCATGGCAGAGGAAAAGGTGGCTTACTGGGAAGGAACGCACACATTAATGGCATGTCTGGCAATGCATAATTTAAACTGCAATTTAAATCGCTACTCAGAAAGACATGATTTGATTATGTGATTCTCTGGTCCACCCTCTCAGTGTAGTCTTGCTTGCTTTTACTTTAATTACTTTAATACATATTTTTCATATCTTAGAAACATGAATTTTATTTTTACAAAACTGATTAACTTGTCACAGCAAGTTTTGCAAACCTTATGTGAACACCAGTAAGATTCTGGACAGTGATTAATTTTGGAAAAACTTTCAGTTTAGTTTTACAATCGTATCAGAAAATGAATAATTATCAAAACTCATTGAAACATACACTTGCGAAGGCACTGGAAAGCGAACAATCTCCAATTTAACACTCTCCGTTTCATGAGGTTAATCATGAATATTTGGAGGATTTTCTTATCATACTCTATTGGGACAAATTTCATCACCAGACAGATATTTATATTATTTTATTCAACTGAAACAATACTGTATGGTGCATTCTGGTTTCTTCAATACCAAACATATAATATTGAACAATCATAGTGTTTTTTTTTAAAAAAAATCTGAAAATGTAGTTACACATGCAGGATGGTTGATCTGTTGCATTACACAGTTGTGGAAGATTGAGCGCTCCAGCAGGCTCCTACTTATATGTCCAGTCTCACACAGGTTGTGAGATGGGTTGTACAACCAATTGTGTCAGTTGCTCATGCAGTGGGGATGTGCAAACCCAGGGAAAGCTTACAGCATTTCCCTTACATTTTGAACAGGATAATATTCTTAAGGTTTCCCACCACCTGTATTTTAAAATTAAGTTTAATTTTAACAAAATCATCATCAATGGACTCAGGATCATTGAAAGCAACCCTGAAGATTTTAATAAGCCTTCCAAGAATTTCTAACATTGTATCATGTTGAGAGTTAAAAACACAATTGGAATAACTTTAGTCAAAGAATTAGGCCTGTTGTTTCTCTTGTTTCTCTTCACTGTATATTGCTGTTAACAAGTTTATCTCTGAGGACAGCAACCAAGCCTAAGAACTGTGAAATTTTCTCATGGTACCTTCTTGACTGATTATTAGATTTCTGGGAAAATCATAAAGAATAACATGAATTAAATTTATATGGCTACGTTGTCTCATTTTATAGAATTAGAATTAATAATTCCGGTATTATAAATGAGGTATGTGTGTGTTTAGTCGTTTAGTCGTGTCCGACTCTTCGTGACCCCATGGACCAGAGCACGCCAGGCCCTCCTGTCTTCTACTGCCTCCCGGAGTTGTGTCAGGTTCATGTTGGTTGCTTCGCAGACACTGTCCAGCCATGTTTATATGAAAGTTCTCATTAGACAACGCTTTGTTAAGTCAAAACGCATTTTAATAACCAAAATTATAAGATCTGATTTTTAAAAAATCATGGGTTTTTCTCCACAATGCCTTACCTCACATAGTACCATCCCTGTGCCACAGAATTTATTTCTGCTGACCACCAATATAATCTGTTTCTTTCACATGAAAGTGAAAAGTCTCCTCTCGAGGAGCCTACCTGAACACCGCCGGCTGTGTCTCCAGTGACTATGATGCCGTGAACATCCCAGTCTATCACTTCAGTGAAGCAACAGCAAGAAAATATGGCTGCCAGGCTGGAGGTGAGACTGGCTCTGGCTAGAGGCTGCCCATTGACATTCCACAGGTAGAGAATTGTTCCAGCACATGAGGCAATATCACCCTGAAACACAAAGGCTATTTGTGGAGCACATTACAGTGCCTCTGTTGAGGAACACGCAAAAACTTGTGCTTGCCTCAGCAACAGAACCATGCATAACCGACAGGTAACTCTATGATGCTTGTGAAAACTAGGAACTGGAAACCATTTCTCCTCCAATAAAATCAAAGAGCCCCACTTGCTCCCAACTTATTCATTCTCATGGACCGATCCCAGAAATTCTGAATTGCCCTTTCACTTAGAATCTGAACCATATTCAATGAGAAGCCTGCAAACCAGCTTGATTGACCACACGGTTCCATTTAAAAACAAACAAATTGCTCTGCTCATGGGTTTTGTAGGCAAAATAGCCCATACACCATATATCTTAAAAATAAATTGCATGTGGACAAAATCTAAATATCCTGAACCACAAGCAGAGCACATGCATTAGTTAGGCTGCAGTGAGGGAATAGGGGCAGAGCATAGGTGACCATAGCAGCATCTTTTAAAAGAGCAGGGTGATACTCTTCTGCACTGGTCAGACCTCACCTGGAATACTATGTCCAGTTCTGGGCATCACAGTTAAAGAAGAATTTTGGGAAGTTGGAACATGCCTAGAAAAGAGTGATCTGGATGATTAAGGGTTTGGAAACCATGCCACAGGAGCAAAGGTTGAGGGGATCGGGCATGTTGAGTCTTGTGAAGAGAAGACCGGGAGGCAATGTAAAGCTATCTTCACATCAGTGAAGGGCAGTCAGATGAAAAATGGAACAACCTTATTTTTTTTTTTTTTTTGCAGCTCCAGAGGGTAGGGCTCAAAGTAGTAGAATTAAATCAACATAAAAGGAGATATCGACTCAATATTAGAAAAAACTTCTTAACAGGGAGCACTTTTGAGAATGGAATGGATTGCTTCATAGTGGTGGATTCTCCAAGACTGGAGGTATTAGAGGCTGGATGACCACCTATTAGGGATGCTTAAAATAGGGAATTCCTGCTTTGGAAGGGGGTGGACCTGTGGTCCCTTCCAGTCCCCCAGCCCTCCCCCACTTTTTGTGTGATACTATGAACTGTGAGTTAGGGACTGGGGGGATACACAACAACACTTTACTGTTCTGAAAAAGTAGAAGAAGCCATGGTTTGAGCCAGTGTAAAAGACTGATCAGCACTCGGGTGACTACCCTAGATCTTTAGAACCCAAATCAGAAGATTAATAGCTAAGACCTCAGATTTTTTTTTTATTTCTGGAAAACAGTAAGTTCTTTAAGAAAAGGTCATTAACTTGTGTACTTGTGAACAACTCAACCTGGTCTGTAAAGAGACACAGCCCAAGACATGTCTACATAGTTCTGTTTGTACTACTGTATTTGGTTTAGAGTGGCTGAAATTTGTACATCCTTTTTCTATTTAAAGAAAATAGAAAATGGACGGGGTGGTGGTTATGGGCTGAACTCCACTTATTTCAGTTTAAAATGAACTCAACAAGAAAGAAAGAAAGAAAGAAAGAAAGAAAGAAAGAAAGAAAGAAAGAAAGAAAGAAAGAAAGAAAGAAAGAAAGAAAGAAAGAAAGAAAGAAAGAAAACCCATTAGAGTCATCATCCTTATCCATACTTTAGTGTTTTCATGATGATGTCATCAGGAACAGAATGAGACACTAAGCTTATGCCTGAAGAAGAGAAGGGGATCAAAGGTGGGTTTTTAAAGGCTAGAGACATATAAGAAAGTTTAAACAAACAAACAAAAACACTAAATGAGAAATGTGAGAAAAGGAAAACAGTGTAGAAATGGAGACACGGACAAAGATAGATTTCAGTGAGTAACTTGGGTGATTGGAGATATAAAGAGAAAATAAGTATAAGTGAGGCAGTCCAAGGAAGGATGTTGTTATCCGCTCAACAGTCTTCCTGTAGCACTATATCTATTAACAGCAAAGATTTAGGAGAAAAATGACCTTCCTGAGAGATTTTCGATGTCACTTTGTTGACAAGAGGGACATCAGAAACTTAAATGACATGATGTCTGCTACATTAACTGGTAGATAATAATAGGGAGAGTTCATGAACTAGCTACAGAGGAAAGAGGTTGCTGTGCCAATATCCCCACATTTTTTGTTTGAAGTACTAGCGCTACGTAGTCCCTGGAAGGCAATAAACTTTCTTAAATAACACTAAATGGAATGGTTATGATGCTGAAGGAAGAGATGTGTTGCTAGTTCCAGGCAGGCCATCTGAGAAGGGTAGGAAACAGTAAGGATTTAAGGATTGACAAAACTTCCAGTTTTGCTTATCCTGTATGAACTTTTCACAAATGTCACATCCTTTCCATCACATTTATGAAGCAATCTGTGTGGGTGGGAGTGTTTTATGTTCTCAAAAAACACAAATAAAAATTCATAGCCATCTTTCCTGAGCCAATTCAAGAGGTACAGCTAATCCATGTATGCGATCCTATTTGACTTGCTTGCTATGTACATAGATGAGAAGCCTAGGAGAAAATGAATTTGGCATTTCTAATTCTGCACTGGAAACATAGTGGAATCCACAGGGATTGAAGACTGGGGATTTTAATGACATTCAAACAGAATTCTCACCCGTCCCTAACACACCAGAGATACTAGACTCCAACTGAGAAAAAATGGCAGAGGCAGGGCACAGGAAGAAGGAGAGGAAACCTCGGGGGGAAACTTCTGTAAAGCAGTGATTCCCAACCTTGAGTCCCCAGATGTTCTTGGACTACAACTCCCTGAAATCCTAGCCAGCAAATGGTGAAGAGTTTTAGTACAAGAACATCTGGGGATCCAAGGATGGGAAACACTGACACAGAGCCTAAGAAAGGCCCTGACTTTCAAGATAGAGGCCTTAAGTAACCAAAGACCCCGCTATTTATTTTTCACAGCATGGACCCTCTGGCTGCCTATAGTGGCCAGTTCTGGTAAAACATGTGAATTTTTCTGCAATTTTTCCTTTTTAATACTTTTAATATTTCATTTTCATATTTGCAGACTATGGATAAGTGATTAAGTGGACACTGATCCCGCGGGTAAGTCCTACTGTAACCACATTTCCAAAAATGCATTCACTGCTACATGTGAGGTACAAAATCAGGACTAGGTAATCTTTAATCATTCAGGTGTTGTTGGACTTTAGAGAGTCATAGGTTGCCTACTGCTGCGCTAAACAGATGGGAAAAGATTACTCTTTAAATACTGGAATACTGAGGCAGCAAATGGCATTTCCCTAGAACCCAATCACTGCTTTGGGAAAGGATTTCTGGTTTTCCAGCGCAAATGTGTGGTCACGTAACAAAATCACATAACCGCTATGCAAAACAGCCTGAACATCCCATGACAACAGATTCTGCACCCAAACCAGCCATAATATTGATAGACCATAAAGAACAAGGAAGGGCAACTGGATGGAAATTCTTGATGGGCACTTCCAATGATTTCTTAGAATGATATTTTAACATCTTCCCAAGTGATGGGGGGGGGGAGAGAAGAGGAAAACAAGTAAGTGAAAGGCAGAGAATATGTGAGGAGGATGTTGCCTCTGGCAGGCATTGAATGAATGCCTGAAAAAACAACAACACAGAGATACTGATGAAGAGTGCAGAGTTTTAGTGGATAAATTCCACATGTTCCATAAAGGTGACCGGCAGACGTGAGATAGTAAGGAAGGGACAAGTAGAATTTATTTACTTGATTATCGATCTTGCTTAAATGAATAAATATTTTGGTGACAAAAATCCCAAGGTGGCTAAAAAGCAAGGTAAATGCACATCAGTAAAAACAATTGTAAAGAACTGAGAAGATTTCAACGCATATAGCGATTGATGGCAGAGAGTCTTGTGGGGAAAAGGTGGGACAGTGCAGCCAGAGGTGGTCTTCTCCTGCCCGCCTGCCCCTCTCCCTCTTGCCCCTCTTCCAATAGGGTTTCCTGGAGGGAAGGATTACTGCAGCTGCATAAGGGGGCCTAAGGGGGCCTTTGGCTGCCTGCCTCTCTTGCTAGGGAGGGTGGGGCCAAACGGGAGAGGAAACAGGAGAAAGCAATGGACCCTGCACCAAAGAATGGTAGGGAATTAAAACTAGATGAAGGAGGTATGGGAAAAAGGAAAGTGAAAGCTGGAGAACAACCAATGGAGTAGAAAAGTACAGTCTTTAGACAAATTGCATTGATTTACTGATTGATTGACTGATTGATTGATTTGATTTGATTTGATTTATACCCCGCCCATCTGGCCTATACGACCACTCTAATTTGACAGGTATGTCAAATTAGATACTACCAGACATATGTCTGTAACAATATACCAATGGCTTATTTTGAAATGCAAAAGTCTACTTCCAAAGGATTGTTTAGAACAAGTTGCTTAGGAGAAAGAGAGTGTAAATGAAGAGCTAATTAGCAGAAGATAGACAGTACCCTTCCTCTGCCTCCTGGGGGAGGTCACCCCACCACCTCTGGGCGAGCCGGCCCCCCCACTACATCTGCCCGTGTTCAAGTATCCCTGCCCACACTGTTTCTCCTTTTCTAACTAATTCTCTGAAAGTGGCCTTTTCTCCTTTGGAAGTGGCACCAGAATGATTTCAGACACACCAATATATAACAAATCCAATTTGGCCCAAGGCTATGTGTGCAATAGCTTATTTATTTATTTATTTTTAGGGGCAGGGCTCACAGGATGCAGTAAGATGAGAACATCAGCAGAGCTTCTGCCTGCTAAAAACTGGCTGGTGCTGACCTGACCTCTAGCCGAAGGAAGACGATTCTGGCTTTCTCCAACTGGATCCGGACAAAATGAAATGCACAGGGAGAGTCATATGTAACCAGACATAAAGGAGTGCAAAAACTCCTGAAAGCTGAACTCAGCATGGAGAGAACAGACTGTAACACTCTCCTCCTCCTCCTCCTGTTCAGTTCCTCTGCCTCAGAGGCCGCTCTTAGTGCCCCCTCTCAACATTACAGAGACTATTAGAAACCTCTGTAAAATGAAAAAATCAATCTGTCGCGCCTCAGGATGGTTTCTCATAGGGAAGGGCACCCATTAAGTCATCATGAAATGTTCATGGATGTGTCAGGAGAACAATGATAAATGAATATCTTACCGTTGAATCATTAATGGCAACAGCTGAGAGGCATGCCTCGTGGGCAGGAAGCTGGGTGATGTGTGTCAGATGGTTCAAGTCCCAGATGATGCAGGTTCTGTCAGTAGATCCACTCACAATGATGCTGTAGGATGTGGAGGCAGCCAAGCAGGTCACAGGCTGTGTATGTCCATACAGAGGCTAGGGAACAAAGCAAGCAAAGACCACAATAAAGGGAGACACTAATTTAGTAGCAAGCCACTATATACCCTTCACTTTACAAAGACAAATGGTCTATTCCACAAGGAGAGAGAAGTATTCTTCAGAAAGCAGAGAACACAGGGAAGGGGCACCATCCTTTCCTTTAATGCAAGGGCAGGTAACCAGATATGCAGGGTTACAGAGCATAGCCAGCACGTAGCTGCTATCATTCGAGGGCAAGTGGGCAACACATTTCCAAATGAGAGAACTCCCTGCCACATATCCTGGGTTTGATGACTTCTTCTAAGTAAAAGGACCAGTCATGTCAAGCCAGTAAAAAAATTTAATGAAACTGCGCTATTTTGGTACAGCTTAATTTTAGTAACACTCTTCTTAAACACACAGTTATATGATCAAGCTTCTCATCCCTGTAGTACTACCATCTGTGGCAAAACACATTCATGAACAGAATTCTATGTTGGGGATCACTGGAAAACACATTACAAACAACACTGGCAGTATGGTAATGCTCTTACACAAATCTATGGTGCAAGGACACTCGAAATATGGTCTGCAATTCTGGTCCCTGGATTTCCAAAAAGGTACTGTAGAGCCAAAAAAAATGGCACCAAAATGGGTAACCAGAATGTTCAGGGGACCAAAAAAAGGCAGAAAAGGGGGGAGCTTGCAACATGGTGAGAGCTTGGATATACCTAGTTACAAATAACTAGTTACTTGCAAATAATTCCCTCTTCCAATAATAAAGATAGAATTACTGTACATTATAATAGTAACTTAGCAAAGAATAGCTTCACTCTAATTGCAATATAACTAAAACATTTTAATTACTTTTATAGTTTTATGGGTAACTGCCAGCATTTACTGCCTTTAACTAGTCTACAGATCTTACTGTAAGGTTGGTTCCTGATCCTACTGTCAGGTTCTAAGCTGGGATGCTCTACCTTTTTCAGGCATAAGCAAGCGGCTCCATCCTTAGCCATGGAGAGTTCCCAGACACACACAACAGAGCTACTTCCAGAGGTGATGAGTGTTGTTGGCGCGGGACACACAGCGCAGAGACAACAACCCCAGTCAGCGAAGGCTTCAAATGTGGTGCTAATCTGTGTAAAAAGGGCAAGTGGAAAACTTTCAAAGGAATAGAAATGTGACATGTAAGTAGACTTGGAGATTCTGAATCTGGTGTAATTTTAAATCGTAACTCTGAGAATCTCTGATGCTTTAATAACCCAATCATCCCTAACCTTTGGGACATGGAATAAGAAATTACAATATGAAATTTATCAGAGGAGGAAGACAGGAAGTTAATTTTGATGAAAGACTTTCTCATATAATAAGCAATTTTAAACAAACATGAAAGCAGAAAACATTGTTAAATCACTTAAATCAATTTAAATTAAATCAAATTGAAATAGACATATACTGTAAAAGCATCTTAAAAACCAGGAAAATGGCCAATACAACTGTGCCACCAGTTTTTAATGGCAATTCACATCCCAGAGTTTTGGAGACTTTAAAAAAATGTTTCTGACTGATCCAATATTGGTTGAGGGGGTTCATGAGGCCCATTCATGTTTTAATGAATTATTATAGATTAAATCACAGAGTATTTTTGCTTTACCAGAGTCCCAAACACTTAATTTAAATTTCTTTCTCAATGGAATTTTAAAATAGATTATTAAATACTTCTTTATCTTTGCAAATATTTCCAAGGAGATTTTGATACAAATACTGCCAGCTTCGCTACTATATGATATCTGCAGCCTTCATCCAAAAATATAGCCCTCTTCTTCCAACATCAGAAAACGTAGATTTCAGTAGCCACAAAACCATAGAAGACTTATGTCGATCAGGAGAGGAAAAATGCTACACCAATTCCTCCTTTCTCCTCAAATTGGTTCATAACCTGATTGGATTATTTTGTCTTTCGCTGCTTTTTATTCTTCCCCCTCTCAATAATTTTTTTCTCTTCTGCTTCTGTGTTTCCCAACTCCTTCCTGTCTGAGATACCACATGGTTCTCTGAAAAATCCCATTTCCTGTCACTTTCTTCCAAATTCAAACCATTTCTAGCTCAGAAATTCCCTGCTGAAGTTTCTCTACTTGTTTCCTTTCCACAATTCCTTTATTTGCTTTCTCTTTTCTTTCCCTTTCCAAAACATTTTCATGATTCAGCCATCTTCCCCTTTTATCAGGGTTTTCCCATTATTTCCTCTCTTCAGCCTCTCCTCTTTCGTCCATAAGTAACTACATATAAACCTCACAAGGTTTATCCATGGTGTTTTGCACATGTATTACCTCTGTCTTCATTAGGCACTCCTCTGTATTTAGCAGCTATACAACTGATTCTTAAATGCTTATCTTTTAGCCTTCTCAGTGTTAATGTCTTTGGATATATTATTCTAATTCCCGTGATATATGATTGAATTCATTTTAAATTATCTTCAATTAAGAAAAATGCTACTTTCCAAGACCTTGTCTGTGACCTCCTTCAGTCTTTTTTAGTTTTGGGGATGTCAGATTTTCCTTCCTGTTCGGTACCCAAAGATCCAACACAAGCACATTCCATGTATGCAAGATGCATGTCTATAAACCACCTATATCTATGCAAGTACTGTAGAGTAGTATTTCATAGCATTACCTTGTCTGATCCATAGCCGGTTAGGCAGCAGGTGAAGTCATGGAATCCCCAGCAAAATACTTTATTCCACAATGGAGGGAGCAGGATTTTGTTCTTCCCCACCACCCAAATTCCCTTTTCATTGCATACAACGTGGCCAATAGGTCCTTGGGGTGCTTCTGAACAGAGGAAAGAAAGAGAACTATTTTGTTGCTTCCGGGTCTTCCGTGTCACTTTGCAAAGAAGGGGGAGGTTGGCTGATAGATTTCACCCCACTTAACTGCCCATTCCACAGTGCCGTGAATTTCTTATCCACTATGCTTTAAAGCTATAGTGAAAATACTGTCCCAATCTTGTAGCAAGCAAATGTAATTCTAGAAGTGAAGCTATCTTTTTCACTTATTATCAGTGTTTTGGGTAGTTAATTTACACTAAATGATGGAAAGTAAATGGTGCTGGGTTTCAGCCTACCAAAAGAGATAGAAAAGTAAGACATTGGGGGGCCAATGTCTGGTGTTACCTCCATCTCATTTTCTGAAAGTCTCTGATCTGAAAGTGAGAGGGCGATGGATATTTGCTTGCTCTTTCTTACTATGCGGTGGATCTGAGACTTTTTATCATGGTTTACAGAGTACAACCCATAGCTGAACTTTTTGATCCAGCAGGGAAAAAAGACAAAGACACTGCCAATTTAGTGTCTTGGAGGATGGTTTTATTCTAACGCAGTTGACTCCACTGCATTCCAAGCCTCCGGGTCAGTAACTTTTCAATGCCTGGGATTCCTCACAGAATACATCCTAGCTTCCATTGTTGAGTTTGGCATAGCAGAAAGATGGCATTCTATTCTCTGTCAGAATCTCATGAAGCAGAACTGGGCCAAATTTCCTAGGCAATCATTGCAGAATAATTCCTAAATTCATTTTGCAAGTTCAAAATTCCTCCATAAACGCTTCTGTCTGTGCCTATTCAAGAACAGTACTAACTTATTCACTTCTGCTTTTTAAAAAAGTATCTATTTTCTACAATACAATTAAGTAGAACTTAACAAGAACAGTAACCATGAGGATGCCATAGGAGCTTACCAGAGTCTGTAGAATCGAAACCTTACTCCACTGAGGGTAAAGGAGACAAAAAAAAAAAGGCTAATACTCTCACAGTATTGTTTGCACCAATCACTTGAATGTAGTTTTTAATTACAGGGCCCTAAATGTGAAGTGGAAGAAGTAGTGATTTCTGCAAGGCCAGTTGTCTAACGCTCACTCTATACCTTTGACAGTAACGGATGAGAACTTCAGGTTATGCAGGCTGTTGATTGATGGAGGCAACTGCCCAGCTGGACAAGGGAAGAGTATGTTTTCTCTCCCCACTGGATGCTTCCCCAGGGCATTCCTGGTTGGGTGTGGTTTGGTAAAGAGCTGAGAAGAAAGCACAGTAGAAAGATAAAATAAAAGGCAAGGAGGCTCTCTTTGGCACAATATTCACAGCTTCTACCTTTGGTCCCAAGACTACATGGTATGTTTATAGTGCACTGCCTCTGAGCCTGAAGAATATGCACAGGTGTGTGCACATATGTGCACATGCACAGAGTGCAGTATTCCATTCATGCTGTGGGATCTCTGCCTTCCCAGCATTCCTAAGTATGATGTGTATGCAAAAGCTCATGACCAAGATGGGTAGTACATATTTTGTGTCTTGAGAGCCAAAACAAAGAGTGAAAGAATTTACTCCTTAGAGCTATTTCTATGATGTCCTTGAGGGCAGCCCTTCTCAAAGTAGCTTACAAGACAGTAAATACAAAGCCACCCCTCTGGAGTCACTGAAGGCTGACCCCAAAGTGGTCCATAAGGATATGTGCAGTAGAAAGCCTCTATTGGTAGTTTGGCAAATTATGAGAATAGATGGGGTCCCGATACATTCCTAGGATGTTACATTCCATAGTATCCAGGAAAAGAAGGAACTGGCCATCTCTGCCTGTCTCCTGAAAGCTTCCTGGTTATCTCCTTTCTCTGCAATGTTCCAGAAAGGAGAGTTACTCCTTTCCGAGTGCAGAAATCAGTGTACACCTGCACAATGATTCACAGACTTGGAACTGAGTGTCCACTACTTTGGAAGGCACTCAACAGAGATGGAATGAAAGAGATTTCAATCCAGGGACTGAGCATGGCAGGTCAAAACCCAATAACTCTGCTTCCAAAGGTGCCTGGATATGAAAAATGGATTTGATAATATTTGTTAAACTCTCAGATGAACAAAAAAAAACCATAGTTTCAATTCACATTGGGATGGCTTCCTGAAAGTTAGTCTAACTGTCACACTGTGCATGTATGAATGTGCAGGCTTGTATGACACTCTTACTTTTGCCAGGCTCCCAAACAGGTGCTCCCTGGCTTGTTTCCCACCCACAGAGAGATGAGAAGTAAACATTTCCTAAAGTGAGAAGGGCTCTCTTCAGGAAGTCAGCATTCTGAAGTTAGAGAATTACCAAATTGTTACAGCCTATCCCTCCTTGTCCTTTAGCTCAGCACTGTCCAGGAGACAAAGCCTCAGTGTTCTGCAAGCAACTGCTCATTTTTCTGAGCTAATCATTGAAGCTAAATCTCTTCCTATGTGTCAAAATGGATTTCAACAACTCGAAGTACAATGCTATCCATCTGCACTCTGTCTGGTTCCACATCATACCTGTTTGGGGATCTGCCCAAAATTGCTGACAAATCCCAGGATGGTATTTTTGATGAGTGGGTCCTTGATGTTGTCTAACTGAAGTTGATCACCATAAAAATAGGGGTGGAAGATGTTCACAGCCTTCACCGCAGCTGGGCCCTGCTGCTTGGAGCCAAAGATCAGATCTATCCAGTGATGGAGATGGGTGCTGACATAATCACTCTCCAGTGCCTGAAAGCCAACAATCAAAGTTCATTCACTATTACCTGACTGGAACACTTCACACTCGTGGACAGGCTACCTGTTGCTGGGCCATATTTTCATACGATCTCAAAGTAACTGCTCAAGATACACTCATCAACAGGGAAGACGAGGGGGAAACAGAGCTTCCTGGGCCTAAATTAGGAGCCTCGTGGTGCAGTAGTTTAACTACAGGATTAGTACACTGTCAAATAACATCTGTGATTTCTGAATGTCTGGGATCATTTGAGAAGACTGAGAATGCAAAAGGAGTCAAGAGAGTTGATACAGCAGCTACTGGGATAATGATGGCTGTAAAGAGTGGCAAGCAGCTACCAAAGAGATTAGCATTTAAACCCCTTTCCTCAGCCATTGCCACCTGCAGGCAAAAAAAAAAAAAAAATCTAGCAGGTATCTGACTTGAAGAGGGTTTGCTTTGCACCTAGTCAACTCTCACATCTATAAAGTTCCATACTGCAGGCGTTTTTGTACTGACCTGTCTGTGCAAACTAACAAATTTATAAGGATTTCCTTCTGCCCATGGGGGCAACTGTATATCACCCAGTGAGGTCCCATCCTGTAAGCTTCCTGTAAGTGACAAATGAAAGGAACTGGTCATCACATCCAGAATGTGGTTAGTGCAGTATAAGAACTTCATCTGAATGTGTAGTATACAAACTTTACCTGAAACCACATAATACCTAGAAAAGTGCACAAGTAGTTAGATCAAGATTCAGATTGCCCTTAGGACATCAGTGGAAACGCACTCCTCAAAGCATAACGAGAAGCCATCACCCTTTGGACTAAGCAGCTCCCAAGTCTAAGCAGTAGCAACCACTGAGAAATGAGCCAGAGGACAGCTGCTAACCAGGAAGTGAACCATAAACTCAAGGCAAGAGAACAAGAGTGCACAACAACAACAACAACAACAACAACAACAACAACAACAACAACAACAACAACATCCTGAGATTCACGTTGGTGAGGGGCACTGAGGAGGAGCAATTTCTGGGTTGCTGTGCACTGTGATGCCTTTCTCTTTTGATGAAAGCACTGACCAGATCTGAAAGCTCAAACACCTTTGGGGGTGAAGAATGAAGGCTGCCCATTGTCCTTGAAGGACAGACTCCGCCAGGCTCAAGATCAGAGCTTAGTTAACCAAACTGAGTTCCTAAAAACTCAGAAAATAGTAGTTATTTTTATGCCCATTACAATCACACTTCTGACAATGTTAGGTCTATAGCAGGGTTCGCATTCTTCCACAACTGCCTACATGTGGGGAAATGTAGATTTCTACATCCACATGGATATGTGCTTGTCCACATGTCCTAAGGAGCATCCTGATTTATATTCCACTGTGAAACATGATAGAAAATCTGACTGTGTACATGGCACTATGATATCACATTCACCACATGATCCCTCAACAGTGTAGAGAAGATGTCTTTTTAAAATGGTGCCAAAACAGTGATCTGGTGACTGGGTTGCAGACAGGCGTACAAAAATGAAATAAAACAGATGTCTCTACTCATTTCATCTTCTTTGAAATTATATTGGTCTGAAATTATTTGCAGATGGAAAGTCAGCACAGCAATCATACTTACCAAGCTCAAACTGGTTGCAGTTTGTTAAGAATTCAGGGAAATAAAAAAATTCAGGGATAAGCTCCCTCACATCAGTCATGTTATCTCTGGAGGCTGACTCCCACGCGCTCTGAATGCTGTGGAACATCCTCTCTGCAACGTCAAAACTTCCTCCCTGGAGGATTGGAAAAAAAGGAGTGGGGAAATGGGAGAAGGAAAGAAACACTGAATTGTTTTCGGCTGCTAAAAAAGAGATGGAAAGAAACCTACACTCAGAAAATACATGCTTTGGAACACTGTTATGAAAATAGTCATTTCAAATAATTCAAGTAATTCCAGATCAGATTTGCTGGGCCATGGTTCAGGTGCACATTAAAGAGTTGTATGCATGTATATCTCAACCTTTCCCCCCCATCATGGAACCCATAATGTTTTGTACTGAAAGTGGAATCAGTAAAAATGGTTATCTTTGTCACCTCTGTCTCATGTGGACTCTAAACTCCATTTTATCTTGCTGATAATCTGGCTTCATAAATCATTATATTAGGCCCAACCATGAACTATTTGTTTTAATCCTCTGATTGACTGATTATTTAAAATATTGTTTACTCTTTACTTTCTCCTTAAAAAGGACTCAAGGTGGCTCACATGATTAAAAGACAATGTTTAAAGTTAAAAACGGTAAATATACAAATATTAAAAAGGACCTAACAAATACCATACTAAAATACAATAAACAGAAGCAATCTCAAAAACACATTCAAAGCAGTATGGCACAACAATCCATTTAAACATCCCACTCAGCCAGCCAGCCCTAAGGAAAAAAGCTTGCCTGGAGAAAAAGGTCTTTGTTTGCTTGCGAAGGACAGCAAAGATGGGACCAGTCTGGCGTTGCCTGGAGAAAAAGGTCTTTGCCTACTGGTGTAAGGAGAGCAAAAAAGAGGCCAGCCTAGCTTCCTGTGGGAGGGAGTTCCAGAGTCTGGGAGCAGCAACAGAGAAGGCCCTCTCCTGTGTCCTCATCAAATGCACCTGTGAAGGTGGTGGGACCACGAGAACCTCTTCATTTTTCTAATGAAGAGTTTTAAACAACCCAAAAGCTCATCTTACTTTTTAGAGATCCAATAAAAGTATTGCCCAAACTCAGACTTTGGGTGTGACTAAACTGAAATGTTGAATCAGAAGGACTAATTTTTTGCTTTGCTTTGAAGTTTCTATTGTGTTTAAAATTGTAATCAGCATTCACACAGGGGCTGCAGAACATTTCGGGAGTTCAGGGTTCACACAGGACACGTTGTGATTGGCATTCCAGCCCCCAGCCCTCCTTCTCGCCTTTAGATTTCCTTCTATGGTTTGTTGTAAAGCAACTTGGCATTCAAATACACACATTCCATGGCATCCTGTTTCATTTTGTTTTGCTTGCACCTTTGTCCTGTCCCTTAAAAACAACACCACCAACACTATATGTGCAGAGGTGATCCAGCACAAAACTCAAGGGCAATAAAATAAAAATTAAAAAAAAATCAGATGATGACCAGGGAGAGGAGAAAATGTGTATGTGCGTGTTCACTGGATCTCCTTGTTATACCCCATCTTAACATTCACCTCTAAGAAAACCACTTTCAATCAAATATTCCTACAACATTTTAACATATACTGTACAGGAACAGGCAATAAAATAAAATAAAAAATCAGATGATGACCAGGGAGAGGAGAAAATGTGTATGTGCGTGTTCACTGGATCTCCTTGTTATACCCCATCTTAACATTCACCTCTAAGAAAACCACTTTCAATCAAATATTCCTACAAAATTGTAACATATACTGTACAGGAACATATATACAATTGCCTGAACTTACAAGGACTCACAAAAATCTAACTTCAATTAAGCAGTTTACCCAAGGGACTACTTTTTGGAAAGTAACAAGTATCTCAGAAATCCCCCAGGTGGGGTAGGATTCTTAAAGATGCAGCCAGGAAAGAGCCACAGGAAGGGTAGGTGGATATGTTGGATAGATGCCAGGATGCTGGGAGGTGGGGGAGAGAAGAGAGGCAAATGTCTCCTGATGCTGTTCAAGAGGACCCAGAGAAGGGAATATATGACAAAACATATGCACCAGCTATTGTTTGCAGGGAAGCTAGGTAGAACTTCCCTGACTCTCCTCTCTGGGGGTCTCCAGGGGCTTGCGGGAGGAAAGATGAATGCTGGTGCCACAGACACGCCTCCATCTTTGCAACAACATCTGCAGGGGAAGATGCCCAATCAAAACCTCCCAGCATGAAAAAGTTGCAGCTCTCTACCGGCAGAGAGAGAAAAAATGCCGGTGTGGCTTTAAAGAGGATGGACCAATTCGATTCAGGTTTGTACATCATGCAGATTCAATGATCCCTGCAGCCCTACAACTATCTGATTCTATGACATGTCTGAGTCATAAGAAACATGGTTATGCCATGTGAAGCAGACATCAGCATTCTGGTCAGAATGGATACAGAAAAAGCAGATGGCTGGGCATTCAGTCCAGGTAAAACTGTAAACCAGGGGTCTCAAACTCAATCTACCTGGGGGCCACTGGAGGCAGAATCTGGGTGAGGCTGGGCCACATCAGATTTTCTGCCAAGCAGAGCAAGAGCCTGAGGAAGCTACCCAGGAGTTTCCTTAGCCCGGCTGGGGCTCCGAGGAGGAGGAGGGGCACACGACCCCTCCTCGCTGGCCACGACCCCTTCCAGCTCCTTCTTCAATACAAGCAGCAGCAGGAGGATGAAGAAGCAGAGAAGGGAGGAAGCGGTAGTGACCGCCTAGCCAGGGGAGAGGAGGGCATGACATAATTTTTTTAAAAAAAATACCCCTCACAGAATCGCCTTGCCAAAGGAGAAAAGTGTTGGCCCCTCTTGACCAGCAAGGAGAAAGGAAGAGGGCAGCACTTGAGTGTGTGTTTCAGGGCGGGATCCGGATGAATTAAACAGCGTGCTGTGCAACGCTGTTCAATGAGAATTCTCCTCCATCCAACGCCTCGCCCTCGTTTATTATCGGGATCTCCCTTTGAACAAGTTAATCAAAAACTATTCTAAACAGAGGCGGTTAATATCCTGAATACACAAGTATGGTAAACAGAGGGGCCGGTAAACAGAGGCATGTAAATCCTAAATACACAATCAGGGTAAACATTCCTGAATACAGAGCAGGGTAAACATAGACAGATAACACCTTTAAATACACATGAAGTTAATACAATTTACCCAGAGACAGGAAATTATCTTAGATACCAAAGCAGGTTAATGATCATCCTTACTGGAAAACTGACCTGGGCCCAAAAACAATGTCTGCTATATACATTGTAAAAGCATACAATTTCCCCACAGAAAAGCCCCCACGAAATTAAACATAACAGGGTGGGGTGCCCACAGGTGCACGTGTGCATGCACGCACACAAACACACATACACGGAGGTCCGGCAATCTTCCTCTGAGGGCCCCCAGTTGGCAGACAGGCAGGCTGGCTGGCAGGCTGCAGTTCCGGATGGAGGGTGCCAGAGGCGCTGTCTTGGAAGAGAGCCGGCGAGCGAGGTGAGGCTTTTTAAAAAACTCTTGACAGCAGAGGACGCGTGGGCGCTTTGGGTGGGCAGGCAGGGCGGGGGCCGCAAACTATCATCCAACGGGCCGCAAATGGCCCCCGGGGCTGCATGTTTGAGACCCCTGCTCTAAACAGTCCTGAAGCTGGCCAGTAACCCTAGTTAGATGACATTGAAACTGACCACTTGTGTTAATTACACAACTGGTGTACTGAATATCCTTCAGGGGCATTTCCGGGGTTGTAAAGCATACTCATTATAAACCCATACTGTACTCCCACAGCGGCCTCTACTTGTGGCAACTACAGTTTACCGTTAACATGTGTCACAGGTTGAGATAGTTGCACAGCTGCTGGAAAGGACAGGGCTTGAATTGTAGAAGATGAAAAAAAAAAGACGAAAATCTCTCCTCTAACTCCCCTCTCCCCAGTTTTAAGCAAAGAACATAAAGAGAACAGTCCCACAAAATGTGTGTGTGTGTGTCCTCTTCTAACTGGAGCATCTAAGTTAGATGGATAAGATTTTGCATTTTGTTGCACTGAGTTACGGATGTTGTGAGACTGAATTTGAAACTCAAGGAGTCAGTTGAGATACTTGCAAGGTCATTGTAAAGTTAATCATTAACAGATGGGGCACTCAGAGTCAAATTTCAATTGAAACTAAAGCATATTAGGAGACAAGCCAACTACATTGATGCTACCAGCTAATAAAGTATCTCTTTGAAGCCTCGTCAAAGCTGGTGTACTGAACCCATGTATCCACTAAACACGCTACCCAGCACAAGTGACGGATGCCTCTCCTCCTCCTTTTACAGTATTTATGATAGTTGATGGTAATCTCCAGAGAAACAATGTGATTTGTAATAAAAAGGTTACCTGTATTAAATAAAAATACTATCTACATAGGAAATGTTGTTAGTGCTTCAAATCTAGTTAAAGATATTACCATCCAGAAAAATGTAATTTTTCACAGCTTTCTAATGCATTTTGGAGGAAGTAATATCTTTAAAACGTAAGCCTGTATTATTTATAAAGAAAGCAATAACTGATTCCCAGCATTCCTTATATTAATAAATGTATTTGCATATATTTATATAAGAATTTGTGAGTATTCATCCTCTCTGAATACAAACACTGCACAGAAAAGGAGAAGGAAAACTTGGAACAACTTAGTTCTTAAACTAAGAACATACACCCCCTTTCTTTTTTGAATCTTTGGACTGTTTGATTCAGGGTCCTTTTAAACAAGTATTATGGTATTGCTTTTGAGATGAATTTCTACTAAACATTCAGAACGTGCTGTAAGTGAGAACAGTCACATTTTCATTATCAGACCTGCCGAGGGATGGCCGTAGCTCTTCATGGCTGACAGAGAATCCAGAATGGTCTCTGACTCAGCCGGGCCCTAATGGCCCAGGTGCTGTGCAAACACTTTCCTTGCTGATCCACATTCTGCTATAATCTTCCGCTTTATTTCTGTTCTGTTTTGCCCATTTTCCTTGTGTGCGTGGGGTCAGGTTTTAACTGTTTTACTCCTTTAATAAGCAGTAAGGTTGATATAGTGGGCAGTCTGAGCGAGACTCTGATTCATACCCAGGGAGGTCACATCCAAACAGAACCCATGCTTTCTAACTCTGAACTTGAACTTTATTGCTCTATTGCTAAAGCAATAAAGTCACTCCTGCAGTACTGGGCTTTTTTATTTTTATTTGGGGCAGGGCAGGGACGCT